TTGTCAAAGTTTCCGTGCAGCGTGACGCCATGACTGACGCCAAATCAAGCAGAACGACAACGGTAATTATCTGCATTTCTGTCCTTTTCTCTTACGTATAGTGAAAAAAGATAAAAACATATAACAATACACAGATAGTCAGAATCATTCTGATTGCTTACATCTCATATTTATGTACAAACGATCCCTGAATCAGTGGAAGGGTCCTCGCAAAATCCTGTGTGTACCCTTGTCAGCAAAGCCGCCATTTTGTAAGAAATCGGTCAGCGGTAGTGATGTCATACGTCAACATTGTTGTACATATTCGGCAATTTCTTTGAGGTGAAGGTCGGTTGAACAAGAGTAAACACAATCGCCATATCCTTCCGATTACACTGTCAGTATTATGATGTATATTTTGCGCATAGTTCGGATACTTTTTCATGAAACTGACTTCAGTATCTACATTTAGCCTTGTTCAATATCATATCATACATGCATATAGGGTTTACGGTGTTTTATTCTTTGAAAGTTTTGATTGTTTGAATCATATTTACATAAGAAAGTGACATATTTATTGCAATACACCATATTTTAAACCTTTACACAAGTGTTAGAAGATCAAACGTAGCCATAACTGCAATTACTTTAGTTCCTATGATGTACAATATTCAATTTATTTGGACTAATATTGCAATTTCATATGAACAGGTTAATGAACGGTGATATGATTCAACCTTATACGCAAAACTGATAATATTAATGACAATTATTTATATATGGTATGAAATGTACATGCACACATATTTAAAGGAATTGTCTTGTTCATTGCATAATTTTGTGTCGTTTTTATAGACAAAAGAATGATGCATATAGATCGGCAAGGTGCGCGTTTGTTGGCAACGTTTTATGATTCTCTATCATTGTTTTCGATAATATATTCAATTCATATTCGATTAAATAATATTGTGATGACAGGATATCAAACTCTAACTACTCATAGGAAAATTGTTGAAAAATATATATACCATCTCATGTGTTAATTCGGACAAATCTTATATCCATATTCTAATATATAGTTCCATATATCAAAGCTATCTTTATGCATCTTTCATTGCATACGTATGAAGAGAAATAGCTTCATAATCATAAACAAACAAAATTCTTATCCCAAACAAAATGTTCGGGTGTTGTGAAATATTATTTTTATTTACGTTAAATTGATGCCAAACAGGTGCGCGTGTTGTTCACAATAAGATACGCTGTCAAACCGTCTAATTGTTGATATATTCAGGACACTATTTAAATGGAAAAATCAGTCATTTTATGTTTTGTCTAAAGAGTGTTAAATTCTGACATAGAAGTCTAGACCTTTTATACAATTAATGGAAATTAAGTGAGATATATACTAATCAGCATACCAATGTCGTCGTTTTCCGACGTCGCAAAATGCATAAAACAAGCGATGACGTCAAGTAAAATGTTGTATTATTTTCAGCAATTTCGTTACATTTGAAGATATGGCTAGTACTCTGGTAATAACGATGCAAAATTAGTCAAATTACATCTACACAAACAGGAGAATGTGGGAATCTAAGAACTAACTTATATATCGGATAGGGCCATTCAAATCGCTATTACGTGCTTTCAAATGTAATACGTTGTCATCTTTTCTTATAAATTGTGAAACTACCAAAGCGCATCCGTTCTCATTGGGGAACTTTGAATTGGAATAGTGAGGTTCACCAGAATATAAAATAACGAAAATATAGCGTCCGTATCCACAACACATTTTCTCAAAGTGATCTGAGTTACATTGACCTAGTGTTACGCATAACGGAGTTATGCCCCCTTATCATTATACGTGTATGACCTCTCTTTCGTCGTTTGACGTCATAGAAGAAAATACATTTTTGACATTTGAAAGCACGTAATAGCGATTTGAATGGCCCTATCCGATATATAAGTTAGTTCTTAGATTCCCATATTCTCCTGTTTGTGTAGATGTAATTTGACTAATTTTGCATCGTTATTACCAGAGTACTAGCCATATCTTCAAATGTAACGAAATTGCTGAAAATAATACAACATTTTACTTGACGTCATCGCTTGTTTTATGCATTTTGCGACGTCGGAAAACGACGACATTGGTATGCTGATTAGTATATATCTCACTTAATTTCCATTAATTGTATAAAAGGTCTAGACTTCTATGTCAGAATTTTTACACTCTTTAGACAAAACATAAAATGACTGATTTTTCCATTTAAATAGTGTCCTGAATATATCAACAATTAGACAGTTTGACAGCGTATCTTATTGTGACCAACACGCGCACCTGTTTGGCATCAATTTAACGTAAATAAAAATAATATTTCACAACACCCGAACATTTTGTTTGGGATAAGAATTTTGTTTGTTTATGATTATGAAGCTATTTCTCTTCATACGTATGCAATGACAGATGCATAAAGATAGCTTTTGATATATGGAACTATATATTAGAATATGGATATAAGATTTGTCCGAATTAACACATGAGATGGTATATATATTTTTCAACAATTTTCCTATGAGTAGTTAGAGTTTGATATCCTGTCATCACAATATTATTTAATCGAATATGAATTGAATATATTATCGAAAACAATGATAGAGAATCATAAAACGTTGCCAACAAACGCGCACCTTTGCCGATCTATATGCATCATTCTTTTGTCTATAAAACGACACAAAATTATGCATCGAACAAGACAATTCCTTTAAATATGTGTGCATGTACATTTCATACCATATATAAATAATTGTCATTAATATTATCAGTTTTGCGTATAAGGTTGAATCATATCACCGTTCATTAACCTGTTCATATGAAATTGCAATATTAGTCCAAATAAATTGAATATTGTACATCATAGGAACTAAAGTAATTGCAGTTATGGCTACGTTTGATCTTCTAACACTTGTGTAAAGGTTTAAAATATGGTGTATTGCAATAAATATGTCACTTTCTTATGTAAATATGATTCAAACAATCAAAAACTTTCAAAGAATAAAACACCGTAAACCCTATATGCATGTATGATATGATATTGAACAAGGCTAAATGTAGATACTGAAGTCAGTTTCATGAAAAAGTATCCGAACTATGCGCAAAATATACATCATAATACTGACAGTGTAATCGGAAGGATATGGCGATTGTGTTTACTCTTGTTCAACCGACCTTCACCTCAAAGAAATTGCCGAATATGTACAACAATGTTGACGTATGACATCACTACCGCTGACCGATTTCTTACAAAATGGCGGCTTTGCTGACAAGGGTACACAGGATTTTGCGAGGACCCTTCCACTGATTCAGGGATCGTTTGTACATAAATATGAGATGTAAGCAATCAGAATGATTCTGACTATCTGTGTATTGTTATATGTTTTTATCTTTTTCACTATACGTAAGAGAAAAGGACAGAAATGCAGATAATTACCGTTGTCGTTCTGCGTGATTTGGCGTCAGTCATGGCGTCACGCTGCACGGAAACTTTGACAATTTCTTATGAATTATCAAATCATTGCATTGTATCTATTTATAATTTCCTATTTCTTGCTACGATACTCTTTCCATGTATATTCTAAAGGTATTGAGCCATTGCAAGCAATGAATAGACGGATGAATGTTGAAAAATTTCAGAAAATGCTACGCAGTGTAAAATCGGAATTTGTCTTTGTTTACATTTCACACAAACGCAGTCTTCGCAAGCACAGCGTTCGTTTTCACACCCAATATGTTTCGTCTCATTTTATCTAGACAGTTATTATTGGTGACACAGACCAGTTTCAAATTGATTCTTAAATGTATGGGGAATTCAGTGATGCATTTTTCGAAGCTGAATATGAAATATACGTGATGTAATAGGCGTCTTAATACCGGCCTTCGCGAAACGTGATTTTGTAAACACTATCCAATATGGCGGAAAGCGCTCTACGGCGTTCGTGTAAGTGCATTTTCGAAAACATCCCAACCGATTCTAGATTCATCGGCAACGTTTCAGAATTATAATTAGCGATTTCATGTAAAACTGATATCAGTGATCATAAATATGTTATTTTTGAAATTCAATACTCACAGTAATTATCCGATTTTCACATTTCAAAACATACAGCAAATAACGCTGTGAATCGCGATTTCATACTGTGTAAAAAATGTCGCCATTTTAGATGAAGCCTATTTTGTAAGGTCATTTTCAGCACTTGAGCTTTGTTTAAAATAATAGTGGATGGTATCAAGAAACAGGGAATTTCCCGCAGAATTCGAAACTGTGAAGTGTATTTGTGTGCGTGGGATATTTTAATTTTTATTCGACTTGAAATTGAGGGTTGAAGGGGAAGGACATATATGTCCCTGTGGCATCCAGGGGGTTAAACAAAACAAACAACGTTTGGTGTGTTGTTTTCGCGGAACAAGGTAGCTGTTTTTGCTTTTGGCGAGATCCTTTAATGCCGATAAGTGCAGTTTTCGCACAGTGACTTACAGCTGAAAAGGCGTTTAAGCTAAATTTCCTAGAATCCAGTTTGGTTACATGAAAATAAATGCTCTCATAATGCTATTGTTACCACCATCGTTTTGTGTTCTCAACTGAAAAAGGTAACTGCATTTTGCCGTTGAGATATACCTTTGTGACTCCATCCTTCCTGGGGCGATCGGCGTAATGGGTACAACAAGGACTGGTCGGCTCGGAGTCAGTATATAATGTGTCAGAGTGGGGGTATTCATGCTTAACTGCGGCATGGTATCTCAGTGGGCTAGCACTATAATTTATAAAGCCAGCTAAGTCTGGGCTAGTACAGGCAGTCGCACATACACATACACACGCATGCACGTCGTCATATGAGCGAAATATTCTCAAGCACGACGTTAAACCCAATTTCAGCTCACATATCCATCCTTCCTGGAAAGAAAATATGAAAAGACGGGAGTAAAGCTAGTTCCTTCCTAGGGGAGGTAACCCTAAATCGTTACGTGTCCACGTTATCAACAATCCGGAACAGACCGACAGACGACTGCCTGCGAATTGTCTTTTCCAATGTAAATATATCGACAGAACGTGGACGGTATGTATCTCAGGAACATAGAGTTATGGTAATCAGTGTCTAGATTTTCCCAAGCAGGAAAAACAAGGCTGTCATTTCTGTTTGTAGTGTCAGTCAAGCAGATCTCAACATTGACATCAGCACTGAATCACCTATTTTCGTGAGATATTTTTGTGCATAATCTGGGTTCAAATCGCTACAGCTACAAAATGCCATTCTGTGCTGGAACCAATCCTCTTCCCACCATTGTGATCAGTTCCAAGGGTCACTGTCCATTGCATTTGTTTTACGACAGATGTTGTATTGTTTGTATTGTTTGTGCTGGACACTTTTTATGTGATTTGTGACATCCACATTTTCCACATTTTTCTGGATTTTGTTCTTGCTTTCTGTGTCTACTCTGATTTGGTTTTGGACTGTGTATTTTTTTGTCATTGTAATGACTAGGCCTACAACGAATACACTATGTGGGGAATATGATACGTATCATGAATATTGGGTAACGAATACAAATAATTATTCAGGAATACAATATTGTAGTTAAGTGATTGATGTACAATATGGAACGTCCATGTTGACAGTTTTGATTTGTCACACCAATAACCATGCAGTGATCTCATGACACTCAAATTTGGCATGTAATAGTTATAGTCGACAGTATCATGTGCGGCCTTCGCAAACTAACGTGACTTGCGCAACTGCAATGCTAGTACATATTCCATCCTTGCATATCTCACTTTCCAAAAGTACACAAGGGTTCAAGTAAAACATGCTTCCTTAAAAAAATCGTAAATATTCGTTAATATTCGGTTCTGGTGACCACGAATAACGAATTGAATTCATGAAGGGCTACGGTTCGATTCACCGAATATGCGAGTGAATCATTACAGCCTTAGTAATGACCTTGTTTTCTAGAATGTATCTTGTTTACAGTAGGATCTTCATCTGTTATTATTTTCAAACTTTCCTGTGAAGTTTCATGGTTCTGTCCTATCATGATAGCCGTCTCTAATGTCAGTTCATCTCCTCTCTCTAAGCATTTTTCACGCACTGCTGCATGCAATGAACGAAGTACAATAGCATCTCTCAACATTCTTTCTTCATCTGTATGTCCACAGTCTTGAACTAGGATTCTCAGATCTGTGACAAAATTATCAAATTTCTCAGTTGCTTCTTGTTTTCTTCTGTTGAAGTTTACAGTAGCTCTAAGTTGATTTTTCTTTGGTGCCACATGTGTGGAGTATTTCTGAAAAACTCCTTTTAAAGTCTCATTTTCCGCAGGATCAGTGTCAGTTGCAGCTCTCCACGTAAATGTTAGATAGATTTCCCTACCTTTGTCGACTATATATGTCATACGATAGTTCACGATTTTCTATTTCAGATTTTGAAGTGCGCGGTCCGCGAAATGTAAACTCACAGTGCTGTTTGAAACGTTACACCAGTAGGGATGTTGTAATTGATACGTTACAGGTCCCTATATTTAATCATTTTAAATATAGAACAATTTTTTATGGATAACAACTTCTTTATTTCATGAGTGGGACGTTTCGATACAGATTCTTGTACCGTTGTCAAGCAAGAGTGATACATGAAGTGGAGGAGATGTATATATATATACTGAATATAACAATGAGACAACATAATTGACAAAGAAAACAGCATAATTGCCATAATTGGTTAAGCAGTAAGCTGATGAAGCCAGTGAGTACACAAAGGGTAGTGAAGGGAAGCCAGAGATGTACAAATACAGGAGTAGTTAAAATGAAGGAGATGTTTATACAATAGGTGAGATGTATATACAATAGGTTGGGTTTAGTGGAGGAGTGCATCATAAGCGGATGGAATGAAGTATCCTTGGTCATGGTTGATGGTGGGCTTATGGCGTTTGATGTGAATGGCTTTGGTGAGCTTGCGTTTAGTGAAGTCTGTTTGGTTGTTGGTGAGAATGGTGATGTCAGACCACTCTATTTGATGATTGGGGTTTGCTTTGATGTGGTCAGAGATAGCTGATTTGCTGTCGGAATTTGTAACGGAAGTGCGATGTTCTTTGACTCGGGCGTTGATGGGTCGCCATGTTTCACCTATGTAGCTTTGTCCACAGTCACAGTGTATATTATAAATAACACATTTCGGGTTGTTGTTGTTGACGGTGGGTTGTTTTCTTCCGTTGGCATGGAGGAGGTTTTTTAGGCTGGAGGACGCTGAGAAGGTTGTGTCTATGCTGTTGTTTCAGGAGTCGGCTGATTTGATGTGATGGTTTACCAATGTAGGGAATGGATATCTTGATGGGTGCTGATTCTTGTTTAGATCTTTTGGTAGGAGGTGACTATTTCAGGCGGGTAGTAGTTACGTTCTACAAAGACTTTCCTAAAATCGTTGTTCAATTTCTTCTTGTAGATTTGTTGAGCAGATGTTTTTGGCTCTTCTGGTCAATGTAGAGATGGCACCGGTCTTGATTTTAGGGGGGGATGTATTGATCCGTATGGGTAGGTTTTCTGTACACACAGGTCTGGAGTTGGTTGCAGGAGGTACGGGATACAAGGACATCAAGGAAAGGTAGTTGGTTGTTCTGCTCTGTTTCCATGGTGAATTTGATGCGGGGATGTTGGTTGTTGAGATGGGCGAGGAGCTGCTTTGGATCTTGCTGAGGTTGGAGGATGACGAAGGTGTCATCCACTTTGCGGTACCAGCAGGAAGGTTTGAAGGGTGCAGTTTCTAGAGCCTTATCTTCCAGGTCGGTCATGTAAATTTCTGTTACGATTGGGGATAGTGGGGAGCCCATAGGAAGTCCGTGGATTTGCTCATAGATAACATCGCCCCAGGTGAAGTATGTAGAGTTGATGCAGGCGGAGGTGAGGCCGATGATAGAGTCGGTAGAGAGGCTAGTGTTGAGGGGTTGTTGAAGGATGTCAATTCTTTGGCGTAGTGCTCGAAGGGCTTCCTCCCGAGGTACATTGGTGAATGGGTCCACAACGTCGTAGCTGATGATGGGACCTGGGTTGTTGATGTCACGGATCTTGCAACAGAAGTCAGTTGAACCGTTGATGAAGGAGTTGGCAGATTTACCTAACGGGGAGAGTAATTGGGTAAGGTGCTGGGCAGTACTGTAGAACACAGTGTCACGGGAACAGACTAGTAGACAAGTTTTAACAGGGTTCTTGTGGATTTTCACTGTTGCTCTGGCATAAGGTGGCTGGGGGTGAGATACTGTCAATTTGCGATACAGATCTGTTGAGAGTTCATATTATTTATCTTCAGCAACCCAATGCTTGTTTTAAAAGGCGACGGACAGGATCAGGTGGTCAGGCTCACTGACTTGGTTGACACATGTCTTCATATCCCAAATTGCGTAGATAGATGCTCATGCTGTTGATCACTGGATTGCCTGGTCGAGACTCAGTTATTTACTCACCACCGCCATACAGCTGGAATATTGCTGACTGCGACCTTAAACAACAGACTTACCAATCTACTGCCATATGTATCATGTGTATATTTCTAATCAAAACTGTCCTTTCCCATATATATTCCCACATAACCATCTGGCACCAATATGAAAAATACAAATCCTTACCACATGACCTGCAAAAAAGCAAAAAAACGAAAAATAAGAACAAACAAAACAAGTACCAACCAAACCACCCCAAAGTTCAGCGTCCCCTACTACTACTGGCAAATTTGCAAATCTAAAATTCAAACAAATTTAATTATGCAACCATTACTCCCCTTTCAGATTGCCATGTATCTTGCGGTCATAATCACCCCTCTTTTGATCTGACACAAAATGGCCTCTCAGGCCTGTGTGTTAAATATGCATCATTTTTTAAAGAGCGCATTAAATATCTCCAAATCATCATCATCATCATCATCATTGGACCCACTGCAGCTTTGAATGTGTACTTCCATGTCCTGACTATGATCCAAACTCAGTTCACTCTATGTCTTGTGACATTCAGACAATATTGCAGCTCTTAGTTAGGTTAAGATTAATCCCATGCAACCTGTGTACAAAGTTCACAGGGTCAATCCCTTCACTTAGTTCAGTTTAGTGTTGGGTTGAAATCTCATAATTGATGATTGCTTCATTACCAACGAACAATCATCGATAAAAATTGGTTAACGACAATTTTCAGATTTTCCTATCCAGGTTGCTATTGCAGATATGTATAACATGATGAATCTTGCTACTTTAAAGTGATGTTGATATATCATGAACATAAACCTTCTGGGGTCTTCAAGAAATATTCAGTCATGACTTTTCAGTTAGTGTAGTGAGTTTTCTAAGAATTAAACAAGTTTTCAGGCCCTGACAACTTCGAAGATATGTTCAATCATGAAGTGTTTCAAAGACTAAAATGGCAGTTCCAAAATCGATTGTGTTCGATTATGAGAAAATGTGATCGATTGCTTGGTCGTTTGGTAACTTCAACCAATCTTCGATTATTTCAATTAATCGAAACACCACTAGTTCAGTTGACTGGTTGCGGGTGTTAGCCGTGATAGTCAAACATTCCTCATAAGGCCTGTCACAAGTCAGTCAATCCACACAGCAATTTTCAGTGGTATGTCTGGGATATTTCTGAGTTTGGCTTGAAGCAACTTGAAGAAAAAATTAAGACTCCGCTGTTAAAACTGACAATTGATTTACAGTTTGTTGACAGTGGGCTGATTGCTGAAATACTGTGGACAGTTGCTGATGTTGCGCCATGGACAGATTCAAACTGCGATGTCGTCGTTGCCGCTGTGTCGTCCTGGTCAGCGATGATGTCGTCAACACACATGGTCAGCCAGTGAAAGGTCGGATATGTCGACATGCATAATTTTCCTTAAGTAGCTAACGATCTATGGCCCGTTTCTGTATTATATTATAAGTATTTCTGGTGCCCGCTGTGATATTGTTGGAATGTTGCTAAAAGGCGGAGTAAAACCTAACTCACTCACTCTGAAGACATTTTGGTTTTGCATTGAAACTAATAAAAGTGCTCTCACAAATGTAAGACATTTTGGTTTTCACATGCATTAAAGGCCCAGATAAGCTAATAAAAGTGCTAATTGTTGGCTACCCAATTACGATTTAAAATGTTAGATAATGCAGTTTAAAACAAATGCAGCCAGAACATCGATTGCTATCAAAGATCTTGTCGTCAGGGAGTATACCAGTTGGTGATTAGGTAGACATAAGGCAGAACATACCTGTCTTACATGAAATGCTTAGGTTGTTTACTGAAATACGCATTTAAAGCAGTGGTAACGGAAAATGAAATACCCACTCAACATTCATAATACCCATAGACAGTACAGGCTTCTGTTTCTCTTTGCTTTTTTTGGAATTAGAATGCTTAGGGTTTATTAGAGGTCCTGGTAGACAATTAGCTTTAGTTTTATTTTCTTCACATAAAATCACCATAAAAGAATCCCATTTTGTTGATTATAAGCCACCCATTTTGTTGATTATAAGCCACCCATTTTGTTGATTATAAGCCACCCATTTTGTTGATTATAAGCCATCCATTTTGTTGATTATAAGCCACCCATTTTGTTGATTATAAGCCACCCATTTTGTTGATTATAAGCCACCCATTTTGTTGATTATAAGCCACCCATTTTGTTGATTATAAGCCATCCATTTTGTCAATTATAAGCCATCCATTTTGTTGATTATAAGCCACCCATTTTGTTGATTATAAGCCATCCATTTTGTCCTCACTGGTAATAGTTATCACGTTTAGTTCCTAGTTTAGGCCACAGGTAAGTGTTTCAAATTTAGTTGATTAGTTGTTATTTACATTCTAGACAAGCTCTGCACATGCCAATTCCGCTGCACAACAAGTATGGAGATATATTACTCGCAACTTATAAACAATTGCAACATCTGATATAGCCTAGTAATTTTTCTGTTTTTGATGAATCGTACAACTTTATGGATGGCAACTTCTTGTCTATTGCATACAGCGATGTTTCGGTCTATTCACTTTTAGCTTGGTTATTAGGGCTGTGCAATATTACAGGTAAACCGGTATATACCAGTACAGTATCTCGCGATATGATTATCGCGATATGGTTCAGATTCTGCAATATGTATTGGATCATTCAGAGTTAGCCCCCTTTGAATTATATGCCCTTGACTTTCATGGCAACAATATGTGCTCTAAAAGTATCAAATATATTTTATTTCAGTTGATTTCATGTAACATTTTACAAGTGGAAGTATCTTTATAAGTGGCTCCAAAAGAGCCAAATATTCTACCAAGTTTTGTGGGTTTGAATGGTTTCATATGTGACAGTTTGGAGGAATTAGGTGGCCTCAAATGGGTCCAATGTTTTATTTGGTCTTATTAGTAGAGCCTCTGATCTGAGGGACCATTTCACAATTCAAAATATTTTATTATTTTTGTTTGTTTCATAATGGGACACATGTTATCAATTTATCATAAAGGTCTAAGTCTTATAAATTTTGTAGGACTGTATAATGACATTCTAGTCAAGGATCTTAGCATTGGAGGTTACATGAGTTTTTAAGCTCAAGTAGTTCACCTAAATCATGTTTTTGTTTCATTTTGCAACAGTTCATGTTAACACGTGTTTATATTGGAGATGAATCTGAATGAATCACTGACATACGAGGGGCGAATCAAAAGTATGTAGAATCACCAAGAAAACGATACAAATGCAGTTATTTTTATGTTTTATTTTTCTACATATTATCTGTCAAGCTCAAGCAATTTGGTTTTGCTATGTTCCAGTCTCACGATGCCCATTTTGTTTGACCTTTCATCTTGGTACCCTAAAAAATTGCAAAATCTCCAATACATGCATCAAAAACTTCAGGAAACAAAATATGCAAGAAATATTTTGTGTGTTTTGAGATTGATAGAAGTCCCCTAGAATCACACCTAGATATTAAAGTTTATAAAAAAGCAATTTGAAATTACAATCATTTGTTAAAGTGACTCCCCCCTTCATGTTGACTGAAAGAGCTTGTTTGGAGACACTACCCATCCCTCTTTCAGATGACATATTCATAAGGGCATAGTTTATTCTAATGTTTTCACATATGCATACATGATGCCAAGGGTTTAATCTAAATACTGAATGGTCAGCTCACAATATATTGTAAACTGTGCCAGCTTGAATATCTGGACACAATGTTTTTGAAAGATTAAAATGGGGTTGTCCTTAAAAAATAGCCCCTGACTAAATATAAATCAGGCAATCCAAATCTTTGACTGTTGATCATGACGGGAAGTCACCCAATACTATACTGAACATATTTTATATGACATTATCTGAGGGCATACCATCATCCAAGAGGTACCAAAAGACAAATCGTTTTCCTTTGTGCAATTTTTTAGAAATATTATACCCCAATGTGTTGTAATGACAAATATCTGGTTAACCACATTACCCACACATGTGAAATGTTGGATATGGGTTTGCTACCGACTCCTTCAAAATAAATGGAAGCTTTTCAAACATTGGACATCGAGAATATAGTTAGGCTACATACTTTTGATCGACCCTCGTACCGTAACAATAAGTACATCCTGCATTGAAGTGCGTTCTGCTTAAGCAAGCAACACTGACCATGAACATCATGTTATACTATTACCTTTATCATTATGTTCGCAAAACTTTGTTGCAATACTTCAATTAAATATTGCACATAAAAGCTCTATATCATTTTATTTATCTGTAAACCATTGACATAAAGCCATACACAATGGGGACAGGCACCCTGAGAGTATGGTGTAACAGCAACTAAGAAGATGTCGCACACGGAGAGCTATTATGAATTTATGATGTAAGCACTTGGGCAGAAACCATCCAGTCAATATATCACAATATATATTGCAATATCTCTGAAGTTATTGCTATATATCGCAATATGAAAATCAGAGCAATATCCAGCCCTATTGATTATGGAGTAAGAATCTAAATTAAGACAAAAGGAAAAACTCTGTTTCATTAATATGTTCTAGGACGTAATTCCTCTCAATGTTCACAGAGACATCATGTTCAAGTATTTCTACCTCATCAGTTTGGTTCGTCTCCATGGAGAATGAAGAGTTGTCATGGATACGAGAAGCTATCAGTCAGGTTAATACATGTTTTCATATTTTTTAGAGCAAATGAGTAAGTTGGAGCAGTGTTCACGAATGGTGTTTCAAAGTTACAGGACATTGGGTCCTGCAAGTTTCAGATGTCTGTCTGACCCATTGAAAATTCACAGGACCCATAGAATAACATAAACACACATTTCAGATTTAACATTTCTTATAATTGGCATTGAAATTATTAACAAACATAAGATTTATAAACAGGAAACAAGTGTCACATGCCACATATAACAACTTCAATCAAAGTCATTGTGAAACATACAGTCAGACACTGGGGCTGGTGGGTTGTAGACTTCTATCAGACTGTTGGCGAATCTGCCGGATTTGTCAGAGGGTCAGACGCTATTCGTGAACACTGTGGAGTTGTGACACAATTTAGTTAGAGGGAGCATCTTGTGTTGTTGACAACTTTATCACCATTGTGACCATGACAACAAAATCAACAGCATAGTTATATATAGCTCTGTTCCCTGTCACGCTCCCTCTCCTTTCTTCCTTCCCAGAAGGTTCTGTTCGGAAATATGAAAAACAAATCAGATTGCACAGATGACTGGAAGTATTTCAGAATCATTCCGAAATAATTAATAATTGATATAAAATAATAATACATGTCTTGTATCTAAGAATATTCCCAGGATAAAGTTAATTGTGTTCAATGACACTGCTTATCAAAGTAAATCTTATGTGTTTTAGATAGCATAAGCAATGTATATGATATGCTTGGGATCATATACACTTGAAGTTGTTTTGAGTTGACCAATCTTTCAGCTATGCCAGTTTGCTCTTACACAGAACCCAGACAAAAAATAGCCAAAGACGGTCAGGAGTCACTATTGGTCTTGTACCGGCATAGTACAGGGGTTGGCATGAATGACCTCCTCTGTGATATATGACCACCCTCTGGTTATAATTAGTGGTGGGGGAAGTGGGGGTAGCCTCTGGGTTATAATTAGTGGTGTTCTGATTAATTTGAAATAATCTAAGATTGGCCACAGTGACCAACCGACCAAGCAATCGATCACTTTTTCTCATAATTGAACACAAATGATTTGGGAACTACAACTTTAGTGTTTGAACGCTTGACAATGGAACATATTTTAGAAGTTGTCAGGGCTTGAAAAAATGTTTAATTCTTAGAAAACTCACTTACTGAAAAGTCAATACTGCATATTGCTTGAAGACTCCAGGTAGTTTATGTTCATGATGTAACATATGCTATATTTGGGATTACACTTTCTTATTAAAGTACCGATTCTAGTACTTTTTGGGTTGAGTCCCATCCGGGATTCGAACCCACACCCTCAGAGTCAGGCACCTAATCGCCAGCACACAAAGTCAGACACCTAGACCGCTCAGCCACCGTGTCTGACTTTGTGTGCTGGCGATTAGGTGCCTGACTCTGAGGGTGTGGGTTCGAATCCCGGATGGGACTCAACCCAAAAAGTACTAGAATCGGTACTTTAATAAGAAAGTGTAATCCCAAATATAGCATATGTTACATTTGACCACTTTCTAAAATGGCATTGTGTATTTCATATGTTCATGATATATTAGTCATCACTTTAAAGTAGCAAGTTGTATCATTTTACATTGGATATGAAGTTTGCCAATGCAGTTTAAGCAGTTTCTTAATAAAACAAAAAAACAACAGAGAACCACGTTATACTTACCGGTATATGCAATAACAACCTGAATAGGAAATTTGAAAATGACGCTAACCGATTTTTTCGACGATTGCTCGTTGGTAATGAACCAATCATCAAATGTGAGATTTCAACCAATTCCCAACACAAGTTATAGAACCGTAAAGATCAGCAACCCATGCTTTGTCATAAGAGGCAACCCCCGACCGCGTCATACCAAAAGACGTTAAAATATGGTACTTGTTGGTCCTGCCTGGCGCTCGGCATTAATGGGTACAACAAGGACTGGTCTGCTCAGAGTCAGTATAATGTGTCTGAGTGGGGTATTCATGCTTCACAGCGGCATCTCAGTGGGCTAGCACTATAAAACCAGCTTAAGTCTGGGCTAGTTCAAGCAGCCGCACATACACATACGCACGCATCGTCGTCATATGAGTGAAATATTCTCAAGCACGACGTGAAACCCAATTTCACCTCACCTCATTAGAGGCAACTTATGGGATCAGGTGGTCAGATCCGCTGACTTGGTTGACACGTGTCATCGCATCCCAGTTGGGTAGATCGATGCTCCTGCTACTATACACTGGATTTTCTGGTCCAGATTATGTACAGACCGCTGCAACATAGCTGGAATATTGCTGAGTGCAGTGTTGAACAAACAACCAACACTCTGGTTATAAAGCTTCATTGTCAGAGCTACAGATAACTTTGGGGGTCATTGAGTTACTCGCTTGTGTTCATCTCAACTGGGTATCCTAATTTTCTTTTGAGTAGCCAAATAAATTGTACCCAAATCATTCAAACTCAGTTGGGTATTTTGCCATTTTCCATTAGTTGTAAAAATATAATGAAGTTTAAATATTGGTTTACTTGTTTGTTATTTACGTTCGATCTGTAATATGAGAAGCAATAAGAAAGACTGCAAGTTGCCAAGTTTATGTGCTGAAATTGAACCTCTTCAATATACCTCAGTTATTTTATCTATTTTTTGTGTGTATGCATGTAAGATCAAATTTATTGAGCATTTAGAAAACTTCAAGCGTACTTGTACGTAATAGGCTTTATAGAAATTGAGTTTTCACATAAACGTTTGCGTAACTTACGCAGATACGCAGCTTACCTGTACGTCGGAGTGTTATAGTAAGACATTGCAGTGCTGTACTACTGGTCTTAAACGCTTTTGGCTTAGGGCAGGGTATGAAACTCCCAAAAATATCAGCATGACCACAGGGATGGTTAGAGGTAAAATTTTCCAGCCCTGACCAAAAATTACCTGCCCGAAAATATATTAGGTTTGACAAGCGACTTAGTTTATCATCTAATTGGAATTCATCATTTATTTTTTTGAGTGAATTAATAATGATTTATTATCCTGAAATATGATGAATATCTTCATATATGTCTAAATTTTAACCCGACCATCGGGCAGGTGAATCTGGCAGTCCGTGTTGAAAATAACCCATCCCGGGCAGTCGGGCAGGCAGGTATTTCGAACACTGCATAGAATGTCTAATTTGCTACAATGTGTTAGAAGAGATTCATCTCTCATACATTTCTGATATTGTTTCAGGCCTTGTGGAATAAAGGCAAGCTGAACTGCCCAAAGTGTAACAGCAGACTTGGATCATTTGATTTTGTGAAATCAGCACTATGCCCTTGTGGTGAACAGACCCTGCCAGAAGTTTATATACTTCGAGACCGAGTGGATAAAATGTTGCTGAAACAGGCACAGCAACAACAAGATTTCCACACCAGATTTGCAAGATCAGACAGTCCACTCATCAAAGAAGCTTCTATCAATCCACAAGTGACTTCTAGCCAGGAGTGTACTGAGCGTGTTGGTGTGTCCGGTCCTCTCATCAAAGAAGCTTCTATCAATCCACAAGTGACTTCTAGCCAGGAGTGTACTGAGCCTATTGGTGTGTCCGGTGCCTCACAAAAGCACACTGTAGGGATGCTACCCCAGGGCTGTGATCCATCAGGACTGTTGAATGAATCAGAAGATGACACCCATGCCCAAGTTGGTTGTTCTGGGACAGCTGGGCTTGTCTTGAGACAACCTAGGACAGACCTGCAGCTGTGTGTTTCTGTTCCCGGTGTTGATCAGTGTCTTACTCCCAGTGCTGTTGAGATGGACCGTTTGTTTAGCAATGTTGTAAGAGTGAACTCTCATCAGATGTGTCAAGTGTGTGAAGACTCTAGGCACAGACGGTCTGGGATTGATCCAGCTGGTGCTTCAGAGAACCAAAGTAATGTCAGTAGAACTGTTGTCCGGCATGTTTGTAGCCATGGTAACAAAATCAGCAAGTGCAGAGGTTTCGGTGACAGATGTTCTGGCATCAGTCAGATGGCACTGTGTCAGGAAAAACGTGACGATGGTTTTTATGTGCAACCAAGGAGACTGAAGAAGGAGTTGAGATCCAGGCGCAGGAAGGAGTTGCGTTCCAAGCAGCGTGGAGGAGAGCATGTTGATGATGCCGATGATGGGAGACTTGACAGGGAGACTCTGAACAGGTTTAAACAGCTGGAGGAGAAGCAGGTAAAGGGGGTGTTGTATTGAGGAATTCTCACAACCATGGTAAGATAGTGCTGAAGTAAAATTTAAATAATGGCAGGGTTCGAAATACCCCATATTTAAGTGTGCCATGGCACGGTAATTATTGAAATGGCACGGCTAAAAAATGTTCTCAGTGCCCTTTTGACACGGCTGATTTTTCAGAGACATAACTCACATTTAGTCATTTAATCCCCAAAACAATTATTTTTTTCCAAATTGAATAATACCATACATATTTGAATGCACATAAACCCATTTCTTTATTTAACAAAAACTTTCAAATGATCATCATCATTGTCATGTATTCTAAAAACGTGGGCATACTCAATTTCTGAAAGGCACACCTAAAATATTTGTCTGGTGCCCTAAGACACACTTAGAAAAAAAAGTATTTCTATACCAGAATGGTCATTGTCAAGTAGCATTATATTAGAAGGCTATAACTCTATTTTAGCTTCAGATAGAAACTGAACAACACTGTTGAATAATGTAAATGAAGCCCTGCTAAATTTGAATCAAAATGTTTGTATTTTTCTGTTAGCATCTACATTTCATGTACAAACTCTGAAGACTAAGAAAATATGGTTTCCACTTAAAACCGAAAGCCTCTAAAACAAATTCGAAAGGCTTTTGGTGGACTGATAGCACAGCTGCAGTTTAGGACAAATCTGACATTTCACATACTTTACAATATCATGGATGCTGGTCATTAGGGCTGTGTACATAGTGTATTGGCAATAGATTGTATTGCAATATATTGCAATTCTGGTAAATGTATTCTGATACGTCTTGCGATATATAAGGGGAGCTGCAGTGTTTGTCAGAGAGCCTATTTTCTACATACTATAGCCTTAAAAATAAATTTTATGGTTGTGAAAGCAGAAATCTCAAATTTAGAATTGATTTCGAGGGATTGTATTTTCATATTTACAAAATTTATTGATTGTAAAGTATGCAGTTTTGTCAATTAATGACAATGGAAAACTTTAGTGTGAGTGAAAGTCTGTGTAGAGGTTAACTTACACCATGGAGATAATCACCAAACTTTGTATATTTGTATTACCCAATATACTGTGTCTGAGAAAACCATTACAATACGTATACTTTGAGAGGCGTTTTGGGATAAACTGGTATAACGGTAATACCGTGCAGTCTTACTGGTCAAGATAGGTTACTGATTGGCTACTGTGAAAATGCGGAGCCAGCCAAGGGAGGTAATAAAATCATCGCCCCCAAGCCGTGGATGCATCCAGGGTATAGTGGAGAGTTATCGTAGCGTATACCCTGGAGATTATCGAGGATGGAAAGGTATAAGTGAGTGTCTAAACTAAAAATATACACATTCAGGAAAGGTATAGGTGAGTGGGGGCGGTGGGGTAGCCTAGTGGTTAAAGCGTTTGCTCGTCACGGTGAAGACCCGGGTTCGATTCCCCACATGGGCTAAATGTGTGAAGCCCATTTCTGGTGTCCCCCGTTGTGATATTGCTGGAATATTGTTAAAAGTGGCATAAAATCAAACTCACTCACTATAGGTGAGTGTCTAAACTAAAGGTTAATGTATAACACTAACATTAATCCACACAGACGAACATGTGACCTATGTTTTGTGATTCGGATGATTCATACGAAACTTGATGATGTACCTGTGAACAGTCGGCCCATCTGTGATTTGAACCCATAGTCATAGGTTTCTGTTTGAACACTAATACAAACTGTCCAGGATTCCTGTCATGATGTGGGAGGTAGGCTAGCCTAGTGGTTAGAGTGTGTGCTTAATGTCTGGATTCCATTCCCTACATGGGTACAATGTTTCAAGTGCTTTTCTGGTGTCCCTTGCCGTCACATTTATGGAATATCATTAAAAACTGCACAAAATCAAACTCACATATAGGGATTCAACTCTGCAAAGCAAATTATGGAGCCCGTATGAGACAACATGGGTACAAGTATTGTCAATTTTGTCAAGTTATGTACATTGTGGATTTCAGGAACAGTTTTTTGTTTTATAGTAATCTCTAAAAGCTACTTCCTGAGACCCTCTTTCCAGACTGTGGGTGATGAGGTAGTGCTGGTATTGGCATACAACCTTCGATACAATACATCATGATACTAAAATTTTAGTCACGACAATATATTGCCAAAGTTTTGTGCACTGAAGCTCCGATACGATACGATACGAATCGCGATATGAGGGTGGTGATACGATACACATCACGACACTAAATTCCTTAATTCTAACACCAAATATAAAACACCTTAAGATCAAAGCAAAACCATTTTAAAGTATTTCATCAAATTCCGCCAACGTTTTTCAATGTTCATTCGGAAAACTAGATAATTAACTTTATACATTGAATGTTTTGTGAATGTTAATAACATGCGAGCACTATGTCTGACATAGAAACATTCCGAGAAACTGTTTACTTATGAAGGGAAATAAGTAAGCATATACTTTAATCATGAAACAAACGTAAGGTTTTTTGTCAGAACAGATATCGCGATTTCGCAAAATTCAAAGTTAAACATCGATGTATCGTGGCCCATTTGAAGTATTGTATTGGGATATATGACAATGTAAAACTTTGTATCGATTCGCTGTATCGGTGGCCCATGGATTGATGCATCAATACGTATCAAGGGGGTGAGTAAAGCATTCGCTCGTCATGCCAAAGGCCTTGTTTTGATTTTCCCTAAAGGGTACAATGTATGAAGCCCATTACTGGTGACCCCCATCTTGAATATTTTAAAAAGAGTGTGAAAATATATTCTCTCACTTTGCAGACTGCTGCATCTGTAAGCTATCCTGGACGCCACACTTGCAGCAATTCAGTCTATTAATTATGGTGTCCTTATTGATTACTATTAGCATTCCCAAGAATTATTGTTACACTAAATAACACAATAACATTTCATATGCATACATCATGTAAGGGAACATTTGACCTTTTACGTTCCTTGAAATGGTGTAAAAATGTCAAATTTGAAATCCCAACATTTACAATCAATACTTTTGATGTTCTCATTTACACCTCGAGTCACTGACTCTTAAGCATTTCGTGAATTCCAGAGTTCCTCTGATGACAGCATCATTGATGAGAACGTGTCTGAGGAACATGAATGTCCCGTGTGCCTGGACGTGTTCCTGCATCCCCACGTCTGCTGCCCCTGTGGTCACGTGTTCTGTGAGACGTGTCTGCGGCATCTGGCTCAAGAGTCGGACAACAGTACATCATTCCCCTGCCCAATGTGTCGCATTCTCATCAAGTCCTGCCACCTGGACAGAGGTCAGTTGACCCAACAACGTACCACCCTCCCCTGATCATTGCTGGCTCTATTCTTGTTTATCATCAAGTTCTGCTGTGCTACTGAAGTCACAAATCTGAAGAAAATAACACATTCCCCAGCCACTTGGTAGCATTTCTCATAAGACCCTGCTGTTTTTACAGAAGTCATAAATCTGAAAATAATACCACATGACCTCTTGGTCACATTTCTCATCTTGATGTCTGGGTGGGACCAATAAATCTGCCAATATATAGTACTGCATGCCACCCTCCCCTGTTCATTGGTGGCTCGTTCGCTAGCCCTGGTCTCGATTCATCATCACATTCTGGTGGTCAATCAGTCTGACAACAGTACCAAATTGCCTTGTCCTTTTGAAACATTTCTCATCAAGTCTTATTGTCCGGATTGGGTCAGTGTGTCTGAAAACACTGATGAAGATCCGGTTTAGAATTGGCCTTCAGCAACCCATGCTTGTCTTAAGAGGGATCAGGTGGTCAGAATTGCTGACTTGGTTGACACATGTCATCTTATGGATTGTGTAGATCGATGCTCATGCTATTGATTACTGAATCTTCTGGTCCAGTCCAACCAACCAAACATCTAGCCCCTTGGTAGCAAGTCTCACAACAGTACCACATGCCCCAGTCCCTCCTAGAATTTCTCGGGGCAGTAGGAGTGACTGAGTGGTTAAAGCGTTCGCTTGTCATGGCGAAGGCCTGGGTCTGATTCCCCATGTGGGTACGATGTGTAAAGCCCATTTCTTAGTGTAATTGCTGGAATACTGCTGAAAGTGTTGTAAAACCACACTCACTCACTCACTCATTCCTAGCATTTCTCGGGACAGTGGGGGAAGCCTTGTGGTTAAAGCATTCGCTCGTCACACCGAAGGCACTGGTTTGATTCCCCACATGGGTACAATGTATGAAGCCCATTTCTGATGCTTGCTAAAAGGGGGATAAAACCATACTCACTTACTATAGCATCTCTTATCAAGTCCTGCTGTCTTTAAAAGGCCCTTTAGTCCGAGAACAGTACCACTCCAGCTTGAATGTTAAAGTTAAGACTGACACAACAAAATTTCAAAAGAACTCTTTTGGAAATATTAGAAACTGATAATGGCCGATGCTGAATAAGAGACAGCCAGGCTTTCACCTTTTTTAAACACAACTTCTGGTTTCTCAGATTTATATGAATAGGCTTGTCATTGTTTATAAAATGAGCAGTAAAATTTCTTAGAAGTTGAGTACTCTGCAGTCTTTGCATGGAAGGCTGAAGTTCACATGAGCAGGTCGAGGGCTAGGTTTTTACTGAACTATAGTACACATGACTTGTACAGTATCAAACTGGGTTAGACCGCCTCCGTGGTGTAGTGGTTAGAGCGTCCGCCCGGAGAGCAGAAGGTCGCGGGTTCGATCCCCGACCGCGTCACACCAAAAGACGTTAAAATATGGCACTTGTTGGTCCCTGCCTGGCACTCGGCATTAATGGGTACAACAAGGACTGGTCGGCTAGGAGTCAGTATAATGTGTCTGAGTGGGGTATTCATGCTTCACTGCGGCATGGTATCTCAGTGGGCTAGCACTATAAAATCAGCTTCAGTCTGGGCTAGTACAAGCAGCCGCATATACCCCTACACACTCATGCACGTCGTCATATGAGCGAAATATTCTCAAGCACGACGTTAAACCCAATTTCACCTTACCTCAAACTGGGTTGATATAAAACTGCTCATTTCTTTGTACTTTCAGATTTGACTGCCACAATAAAGCTGAAATATCCTGTCTCCTACAAGCACCGTCGTATGTCAGACAGCAAGTACCTGTCTCACCGCTACCCCCTCCCCCGATCTACAGGCACCTCCAACCGCCACACCATCAACGAGCGGATTGTCTATGCAATGGGGGGTAATGAGAACATTTACACCCTCATGTCCCGACTCTGGCTCAAGTGCTTCACATTCCTGGGTGCCGTCATTCTGGTGTTATTGGTGTTGTGTGTCAGTCTCGCTCTGTGATATTAAAGAGTTTTATTTTCATCATGAAGTGTGATGTTATACTTTGACCGCAGTGGGGATGTGGGTTAGAATATGTCCCCAGTGCATCGTTGCTGGTCACATGAGACAACTAGATCATCGATCCTTGCTTCCTGGACTATCTGGTCCAGCTTATTGTAGGAGGAAAGACTGAAGTGATACTGGTCTTGGACCATGGACCTGACCACTTTGGTGGAAGCCAGGAACATTGGTATGGTGCAGACAAACCTGGTACCTTGATCAGAGCAAACCAGGATTGAAATCTGCAAGGGCTGCCGAGCAACCAATACTTGTGTCTCATATTTGTTGCTTATACGTGTCTCTCATCCTTATCTGTCATACTCATCCATCTTGTCTCTCATACGTGTCTCTCATACTTGTTGCTCATATGTGTCTCATACGTGTCACTCATCCTTATCTCTCATAGTCATCCCTCTAGTCTCTAATACTTGTATCTCATACTTGTTGCTCATACGTGTCTCTCATCCTTGTCTCTTATATGTTGCTCATAGTTATCTCTCACACTCTCTCTCGTACTTGTCTCTCAGACGTTTCTCTCGTATGCGACCCTTATAGATGCCTCTCATACGTGTGTCTCACACTTGTCTCTCAGACGTGTCTCTCATCCGTGTCTCTAACATGTCTCATGTGTGTTTCACCCATGTCTCTCACACTTGACACTCATATGTGTGTCTCATCTGTTTCTCTCACACTTGTGTCTTATATGTGTCTCTCACACTTGTCTTTCATACTTGTCTCTCGTGGCAGTGACATGGACTCTTGCTATCTATCACTGGTTTATCTGATCCAGACATTAAGTACAAGATGTAGTAATGTTTGAATACTCTCATTTTAAAACAGTAAACAATTTAAACTTATCCATTTTTTTTATATAAAATAATAATATCAGTTGAAACAATATACATTCAGAGAAAAGTCGTTCTTTGGTAACACCATATTACTTAAAGAGCGGTAATTTACATGAAGGGTGATCCTGGCAGTTTCTAATTTCATTATATAGTACACCCAGATACTGCGGATTTAACAAACGCGGATTGAGTCGGATATACATGTATGTACAGAACAGGGTCCTTATTCTCGAAACGTTCGGAGCCCTACGAATTCTTTACTTTGATCGTAGCCAATGTGTTAAGAATGGGCTTTAGAAGTTCGTAGGGCTACGAACGTTTCGAGAATGGCTAGCCAGATACCTTATATTACGTTTTACAACATACATGGTTTTCAGGGCTGTTGTGGTAATACTCGTTTTGTAATACATCATTCCATTTCTGAAAGACCGTATGATGTGTAAATATAAAAAACAAACATTGATGGGCTGTGTTTTTAATCAGTTATGTAATAACCGGTAAATGATCGTCGAATTTCTTGGGCTGGAACGCTCCCCTCGCACACGGTAAACTATGTAGAGAATGACGAACCCGATGATGAAGGAGACCAGGATGAGGCCGACTGCCGTGCCGCCCATCACCCCTGAAACATAGCATGGCCACTTCCGTTACTATGGTGCCTAGTTGGCGTTAAGCGGAATACACATGAATACCTGCAATTGTGCCTATATGGCTTTAGGCGGAGCCACAATGAATATCTGTGATTGTGCCTATATGGCTTTAGGCGGAGCCACAATGAATATCTGTGATTGTGCCTATATGACTTTAGGCGGAGCCACAATGAATATCTGTGATTGTGCCTATATGGCTTTAGGCGGAGCCATAATGAATATTTGTGATTGTGCCTATTTGGCTTTAGGCGGAGCCACAATGAATATCTGTGATTGTGCCTATTTGGCGTTAGGCGGAGCCACAATGAATATCTGTGATTGTGCCTATTTGGCGTCATGCGGAACCCCCATCAATATCTGTGACTGTGCCTGTTTGGTGTTAAGCTCAATTCACATGGATATAGGTAATTTTGCCTATTTGGCGTTAGCAGAATCAACATGAAAATACGTGAGTGTGCCTATTTGGCGTTAAGCCGAACCCCACAGAATATCTGTGACTGCCTGTTTGGCGTTAAGCGGAATCGGCATGAATATCTGTGACTGTCTATTTGGCGTTAACCAGGATGTCCATGAATATTTGTGATTGTGCGTGCCTAATTGGCGAAGAATATTTGACATTTAGCGGACTCCACCTGCACCTGTGACTTACCTGCACTGTAGCCCGTGCCGGGTGTGGCTGTGTTCTCGTTGACGGTCACGTCCCCGCTGGAAGACGAGTAGGCCTTGGCTGTCATCACCGACGGCTGAACAAGAGAAATTATTGGTCGTGGTTGTGGTAGCTGTTCTTGTTGTTGAAGTGGCCACTAGCAGTAACAGGTTGTCTTTTGTGTCTGTTTGCACTGTCTTGACAGCGTTTGTTCCGCCTCCCGGGCAGATTCTCTATCCACGTGACAGTCAGCATGATTAGAGTGAGTGAATTCAGTTTTACGCCGCTTTTAGCAATATTCCAGCAATATCACGACAGGGGACACCCGGAATTTGCTTCACTCTCTGTACCCATGTGGGGAATCGAACCCGGGTCTTCGGCGGACGCTTTATCCACGAGGCTATCTCACCGCCCTCGCATGAGTAGATATAGAAACAACAGTAATCGTAATAGTCGTCGTCGTAGTTGTAGTAGTAGTGGTGGTGCCAATAGTAGTAGTAGTTGTTGTTGTAGTGGTCGTAGTATTAGTCATCGTCGTAGTTGTAGTAGTAGTGGTGATGCGAATAGTAGTAGTGGTTGTTGTTGTAGTGGTCGTAGTATTAGTCATCGTCGTAGTTGTAGTAGTGGGGCGGTGGGGTAGCCTAGTGGTTAAAGCGTTGGCTCGTCACGCCGAAGACCCTGGTTCGAATCCCCACATGGGTACAATGTGTGAAGCCCATTTCTGGTGTCCCCCGCCGTGATGTTGCTGTAATATTGCTAAGAGCGGCGTAAAACCAAACTCAGTCAGTCAGTCAGTTGTAGTAGTAATGGTGGTGCCAATAGTAGTAGTAGTTGTTGTTGTAGTGGTCGTAGTATTAGTCATCGTCGTAGTTGTAGTAGTAGTGGTGATGCGAATAGTAGTAGTAGTTGTTGTTGTAGTTGTCGTAGTATTAGTCGTCGTCGTAGTTGTAGTAGTGGTGGTGCCAATAGTAGTAGTAGTTGTTGTTGTAGTGGTCGTAGTATTAGTCATTGATAGTCGTCGTCGTAGTTGTAGTAGTAAGTGGTCGTGGTCGAGTCGTAGCAGTAGTAGTAGTTGCCGTTGTAGTGGTCGTAGTATTAGTCATCGTCGTAGTTGTAGTAGTGGTTAGTAGTAGTAGTAGTAGTAGTTGTTGTAGTAGTATTAGAAATCGTAGTAGTAGTTGTCGTAGTAGTAGTGGTATAGTAGTAGCATATTAGTAGTTGTCGTAGTAGTAGTGGTAGTAGTAGTAGCAGTTGTAGTATCTAGTAGTACCAGTAATACCTTATGTTTTAAGAAGCTGTGGTTGCGTGTGTGTCAATAGCTGTAGGAGTGTATACTTACAGTCAAATATTTATTTGAGACTTCGAAACCTCGTCACAAATGTAATATTGTAAGGAATAAAAGTACCTTATTTAAACTTGGAGAGTAATCCGAATTGTGAATTTTCCCTGGTTGATGGCGGTTGTCAGTTTTGAAACTGCAGTCGCAAGAGGTACTTCCATGACATGGCTTGTGACGTCACCGGAAACAGGGGGTACGTCTAGCAAGGTGAAGGACACGATGAGGTCGGCTTGAGTGTAGTCAATCTGTGGCGAGAAAACATCGAACACCATGTCAGTCTTAGAGGGGCGGTGGGGTAGCCTAGTGGTTAAAGCGTTGGCTCGTCACGCCGAAGACCCGGGTTCGAATCCCCACATGGGTACAATGTGTGAAGCCCATTTCTGGTGTCCCCCGCCGTGATGTTGCTGGAATATTGCTAAAAGCGGCGTAAAACCAAACTCAGTCAGTCAGTCAGTCTTAGACAGGAACACATTAAACTGACGTTGCTGACAGTTGTACTAACCCGGTTGTGTCCCTAGTATGGTGATCTACCTTCAGTTGTTGGCGATCAATAGCCTGTTTTTATATTGTATCGTCTTGTATAGTTCAAATGTTTTAGACTCTATTACTAGTTTTACATGTATATCTGTGATATTCTAGTTGTTTTACTGCCCTTCGTCGGCAGATTTTTATAATTTACCTATATTTCATTCCAATATCAAATGTTCTCGTCACGATATGGCTGAAATATTGCCGATGTGACGTTAAATATTAACTCACTCACTCACTCACTCACTAACCCGGTTGTGATTTCGTTTATCCTTAGAGGGATGACAAGTCGACTTACCTTGATGTTATTGATCCTAAGAGGTGTGACGTTTGTAACAGCCTGTGCCTGCATTAAAAGGTAGTACTTGAACAAATCCTCATCCACTTTCACGACCTCACGGAAGCTGCCTGAAACAGTCAAAGCCAGAAGTTTGATGTTTAAAGCCGTTCACAGCAATCTTCAGCTGTATGAATGCAGTTTGTAAATATACGAGTCTGGACCAGACATTCCAGTGATTGATGTCATTGATCACATTGGGACTCGATGACATACATGAAGCGAGCCTGACTATACCCGATCCTGTTAGTCGCGTCTTACGACAAGCATGGTTTACTGATGACCATTCCTAACCCGGATCTTCACAGGTCGCCTCTTACGACAAGCATAGGTTGCTGAAGATCATTCCTAACCCGGATCTTCAAATTACAAGTGACATTATGGATGGATATGAGGATTTTTTGGCTAAGGGTGTGATTGTGTCTTGCTCCAGGATACGCTGCACTGACCTGGCAGAGCGAACTTGAAGGTCTTCCTGTGGAGGTAGTTGAAGCAAGGGCTGATGTCGAAGTTCCAAATCATTGGCTGGTCTTCGTCGTAGTCGTAGAAGTTGTACACGAAGTGGGCGTTCTGTTGAGTCTGAATCAAACGTGATAACTTGCTAGTGTTTAGGCTTAATTACACACGTTCCGTTGCCTAGGTACTTATATAGAGTCATTCACAGTTGTGTCGAAGTTGAAGGAACCTACGTAAAAATCTCGAGTTGTGCAGTTCGACACAACCAAAACAATAATGACTAAAGAGAGAATACGTAATGACTCAGATTTCAGTTTGAGACAACGGTACTCAATGGTGTTTGACTGCGCCAACATGTCTAATTCCTCTGAGGGACTGACTGTAAAATATGTTCATGAACGAGCACCCGGAACAGTTCTATCCGAAAAAGCCGACGTGATATTGCTGGAATATTGCTAAAAGTGGCGTAAAACTAAACTCACTCATTCACACTCACTCCATCCGAGAAATGCGGGGGAAATTTGTGATCCTATAATTTATACCCCCAACGCTTATCACTTTGGATGTCTTGATGAAGGCAAAACGTCTAAGTCTGTCCTTAGTTTGTGTATGGTCTCATCTAATCTTATCTCATTTGTCTCCGCCGCTGTTGACATTTACACCCTAACGCGATACAATTGTACTTTTACACATACACAGTCATAAAAACAGGTCACCGTGACCTTTCGTCACCTGCATGTGTAAAAAACATGCAAAGCGACTTGATCTTGAGGATACATTGATTTACAGATTACCTAGTGATCTAAATAGAAAATAAATACAGAAATCAGAATAGATACACAATTAGTGCAAACATTATTTCATTTTTGCATACTTTATTAAGATTTTTATTAGGTGACACGAATAGTCTTCAGATTTAACACACCGCATTTCCTCTAGTAAGCGCCCGGGCGCTTATCTTTTCAACCGACTTCCAGCCCCGGCGCTTATCTGAGGCCCGGTGCTTTTGCGCTTACTGGGTGTTATTACCGTAATTGTTAGAGGCCTGTTTTACACCCAGGCGCTTATTCGAGGTCCGGAGCTTATTAAAGGAATACGTTAGTTTCACAATGAAGCAAGCTGACGGTCAGAGCTAATACGTGCACGGTGTTTACCTTGTTGTATTGTTGCCATGGCAACATTGTGATAAAGCAACAAGGCGATGCTTGATGGATGTTCTGCATTTACTCTTCAGACAAAGAGTGAGCGTTGTGCTTAAAAGGCAGGGGCCCGATCTACCAAGCGTTCGTAACGGACACGACTCGTAAGAGTTTACGATCGTAGTTAGGACAACTTTACTATTTATTACGACCGATCCACAAAGCGTCCTTAATTCATTCGTAAATTCATTATCTTGCGATATTGTCGTAAATAAAGATCACAGCTCTCCTGTGGTGGAGTATAGGGGGATTTCCCAATGACGTCATTACTTCGAGGGAATCCCTTCACTTGGTTAGCAGACGACACCTATAGTTTATGTTATCATGTATGACATCGTTTGTTTTCCGAAGTCATTTGCAATCATCACGCGTGTGCACACAAAATGTGACGTCACCTTGTTTCGTTGATTACGTAGTCGGTTACGCTATCTCACCATGTACGACAGCCCATTGCAGATAGTATTAACACATAGGAAGGCAGACACCGAGATGTGAGAAGGTTGCAAACGGTATCTTTTTTACTTGACATTTTGTAAAAATAATCAGACAATCAGATTTAGTGTCCGTACGTGTAATGCAGAGATTCGGTACATTTTTGTCAGCGAGGCGTCGCATTGTGTGTACACCAAAAGCACCGCTTCGTGACGTCATATGAGACTTAATTTACAAAAAAAGCATGATAATTACAGCGATCCACGAATCAAGGTTATCCACGAATTTAGTTTACATTACATCGATGTATATAATGATCACGTAAAACATCGATGTTTTGCTTTGAACATCGAATGATGGACAGCGTTCTGACGGCGAATATCTGCATCTATCTGTGGCCCGTCCCAACAACCTGTCAACGGGTGCTAATTCAGCAACCAGTCTTTAATAAAGGATATATATGCCGTTGAACGGGAAGCAACTCTGGCCGTCTGGCCTTTTACTTTTACTAGATGTTTTACTAAGATAACCGAGTGGATATTTCCTTCATAAAGTTTCGAAAGGTTAACGATATTCCTATCGCTGCGAAATCTTTGTGACAGATTTGGATGACTTACCATAGTGACGGTCACCTCCAGCATGACGGGCACCCTGGACTCCCCGTTACTGTAGCCGATCTCCTCCGTCACCTCGGGCTGTAGAACATACATCACACGTCACACACTACTACTGTTGCTGCTGCTACTACTACTACTACTACTACTACAACAACAACAACAACAACTACTACTACTACTACTACTACTACTACTACTACTACTACTACTACTACTACTACTACTACTACTACTACTACTACTACTACTACTTCTACTGCTACTACCACTACCGCTGACGCTGCTACTACTACCACTGTTACTGCTACTACTACTTCTACTACTACTACCAGTACTACTACTACTGCTACTACAACTACTACTACTACTACTACTACTACTACTTCAGCTACTACTACTACCACTGACGCTGCTACTACTACTACTACTACTACTACAGCTACTACTACTACAACTACTAAAGCTACTACTACTACCACTACCGCTGACGCTGCTACTACTACCACTGTTACTGCTACTACTACTTCTACTACTACTACAATTACCACGCTGCTACTACTACTACTACTACTACCACTACTGCTACTACTGCTGCTGCTACTGCTGTTGCTACTACTACTACACTGTGTCACACACTTACACTTCTGTTGCTACTACTTCTGTTGCTGCTGCTACTACTACTACCAGTTACTGTTCTACTCACGCCACTACGTCTACTGAACTACTGCTGCTGCTACTGCTACTACTTCTGCTGCTACTACTACTGTTGCTACTGCTACTGCTACTTATACCACTACCACTACCGCTGACGCTGCTACTACTACCACTGTTACTGCTACTCCTACACCACACGTCAGAAACTACTGTTGCTACTGCAACTACTTCTACTGCCACTACTACTGTTGCTACTGCTACTTATACTACTACCACTACCGCTGACGCTGCTACTACTACCACTGTTAATACTTCTACTGCTACTACTACTGTTGCTACTGCTACATATACTACTACTACCGCTACCGCTGACGCTGCTAATACTACTACTACTGTTTACTGCTTCTACTACTACTACTACCACTATCTGACGCTGCTACTACTACCACTGTTACTACTTCTACTGCTACTACTACCGTTGCTACTACTGCTACTACTTCTACTACTACTGTTGCTACTGCTACTATACTACTACTACTACTACCACTGACGCTGCTAATACTACTTAGTTACTGCTTCTACTGCTACTATTTCTGCAACTACTACTACTGTTACTACTGCTACTACTTCTTCTACTACTACTGGTACTACTTCTTCTACTACTATAACTGTTGCTGCAGCTACTACTGCTACTATTATAAACAAACTGTAAAATTCTGTAACTTGTACCAAAGTCGCACTGAGATTTGGAGGTGACTCCTGGAGCCTTTCGCGCACATGTAAGTCTTGAAACCTAAAATGCATCTACATGCACTGGTCATGTACAGGTGATCAGTACCTTTGCAAAATACCACTCAAACGTGGAGTTGACCCCGGTGACCCCAGCCGGCCAGTCATGTCGCAGGGCTGTCCACACGTCACACTTGATGTCCCGCACTGTCCGCTGCGGACAATAACATACAGTAGAACACAGTAGACACACAATCGGATCAACGTTTTCTAATATACACACAGTGGACAAACAGCGTTTTCTAATATTCTGGGCACCCGTGAAGATCCGGGTTAGAATTGATCTTCAGCTACCCAAGATTGTCGTAAGAGGCGACTAACGGGACCGGGTGGTCAGACTCGCTGACTTGCTTGACACATGTCATCGTATCCCAATTGGGTAGATCGATGCTCATGCTCTTGATCACTGGATTCTCTGGTCCAGATTATTTACAGACCGACACCATATAGCTGTAATATTGCTGAGTGCGACGTTAAGTAACAAACCAACCAACCAACTAATATTTTAGAGCAATGGGAAAGCATATATTCTTCGCGGCTTTGAATCCCAGATTTGCACGCGGCTGTCATCCTAGGTCCGTCAACACCTGGACCAGATAAGTGTCTCTTTCATTAAAATAAGGCTCAATGTAATTCAATAGGGGGTCTATTTAATTAAATAAGGGCTTTATGTAATTGAATTATGGCTCTATTCTATTAAATGTAAAAAAGCATCTTAATGAGACAAACAATTAAAAAACATGGTAAATACATGTATAGTATTTCCAGAATATTCCAACGTTTCATGCATTCGAAACACCTTTGGACGAGGAGAGGAAAGAATTTTACTATTTTACTATTTTGGAGAGAGAGAATGTTTCCACTCAACACCATTTTCTCTGATTTGTATTTATCTCCGAGTTAGTGACAAACAAAGGCAACAGACGCACCCCACTCACTCACTCACCTCTCCGACATAGTGGTAGCTTGCATTGTTGAAGTTGAAGAATTCCTGCGATGTTCTGATGCGGACGTTGTTGCCGTTTATGACGCGTGCGTCCAAACTCGTAGCCTCTATAGGTCTCGCAGAACAGTTGCCCAACATAGGATCTGATATATATGCTACACCTGGAACGGAAAATAGACTAGGATCTCATCAGCTGACTCACGCTACATTGTCTGTAACATCAACATCACTGTACACTCCCAAGGCTGTTAATCCACAAAAATAATATAGCTTTACAGCAATGGCCACTTTCCATAGGACCTGTGAATAATTAGTCTTCAGCAACCAATGCTTGCTGTAAGAGGCGACTAACGGGATCGGGTGGTCAGGCTCGCTGACTTGGTTGACACATGTCATCGCATTCCAACTGCATAGATCAATGCTCATGCTGTTGATCACTCTATTGTCTGGTTCTGACTCGATTATTTACAAACCTCCGCCTTATAGATGGAATATTTCTGACTGCGGTGTAAAACACACACGAAAAATACTCTATAATCACATTCAAGCTGTGTATGTGTTCTGCAAACATAAAATTATACTGCCAGAACAGATCAACTGGGCGGGAGGGTATTTCAGGTAGCTTGTGTTGTATTCGTGCACCTCTTCCAGGACGTCGGTGCTGTATGAGGGGTGGACCGATGGGAAGTACTGATAGGTCACCTGTGTTGTAGTCGTGCACCTCTACTAAGACGTCGGTGCCGTATGGAGAGTGGGCCGGGGGATAGTACTGGTAGCTCACCTGTGTTGTAGTCGTGCACCTCTACTAAGACGTCGGTGCCGTATGGGGAGTGGGCCGGGGGATAGTACTGGTAGCTCACAAGGTTGATAGTGTAGTCGTAACTCTCCTGTGAAGACAGTCATAGAAACCTATGTTATATAATATTTCAGTGTCCTGAAAGGGGCTCATCGTTTTTGGTTTGTCGCCCTGAAAAAGCATATTTTCTTCTGATTCACTACGTGACTGGTTTTGGTTGACTACCAGCTGGCCTAAAGTGTCCTTGTTGTCGTCTCCTTTATGCCAAAACATGTTGGTTAATATCTCATATTTTGATGCCATATTTTGTCTGTTATCCTTGCGAATAACTAAGGCACCCCTTATAAACGTAGATAGGATCGTCCCATTCTCAGGCATGTCTCCTGTTAACCACTGGCCACACATAACCTTGTATTCGATGTCATTTGCTAGCAGTAATTGTACCTGGTCAAGCTGCGCTGCTCAATCTGTTTATATTTCTAGTTTTGTCAGTTCTGTTATATACCGACCGCCTCCCTGGTGTAGTGGTTAGAGCGTCCGCCCGGAGAGCGGAAGGTCGCAGGTTCGATCCCCGACCGCGTCATACCAAAAGACGTTAAAATATGGTACTTGTTGGTCCCTGCCTGGCGCTCAGCATTAATGGGTACAACAAGGACTGATCGGCTCGGAGTCAGTATAATGTGTCTGAGTGGGGTATTCATGCTTCACTGCGGCATGGTATCTCAGTGGGCTAGCACTATAAAACCAGCTTCAGTCTGGGCAAGTACAAGCAGCCGCACATACACATACACACATACACACGCACGCACGTCGTCATATGAGCGAAATATTCTCCAGCGCGACGTTAAACCCAATTTCACCTCTGTTATATACCTGGATCCCGATCCACCAAGCGTTCGTAACATTACGACCTGTCGTAACTCTATAATGACGTAGCGCTGCGAACGCTTTGTGGATAGTGACCCTGCATTAATTCAGGATTTCCTCCTACACCATGCGGGCTAGTCGTGACATCTCAGGAATATTGTTATACTCACAGCATGAACAACGAATTGGGATTTGAATCATGTTCAAATAACGTATAAACACCTCTCACCTTGATAAAGCCTATTGTCTTCTCCTCGGGGATGACTATCTCGGAGTAATAGTGGAAGAAATCGTTCAAAGTAGGCAACGGTTTTGTATTCTTGCGGTTTGGGCAGTATGCTCCTTTAGGGATCTGTAGACCGGGCAAGATACGTAAAGCCTAAGTAACGTTTATGGAAGTGGGTGAATGAGTGAGTGAATGAGTCGGTGGGTTGAGTGAGTGAGTGACTGACTGGGTGAGTTAGATCTTTATTGTAAGATACATGGTTCCAGAAACACTTAGGTACGTGTATTATTTTCATGAGCATGCTGAAAGTTCGATTTTTCTTTTCAGAGAAAATTAAATCGTCTTTAGTCGGTGATCTGTAGACGAGGGAATATGCGTAGAGTGAGTGAGTGAGTGAGTGAGTGAGTGGGTGAGTGGGTGGGTGGGTTTGAATGAGTGAGTGAGCTGTAGCTTTGTTTTAAGACACATGATTCCAGAAGCACAAGAAGGCAACCACTTTCTCTAATTTATATGCATTTTTTCATGGGCATGCTAAATATTCGGTTCTCATTTCAGTGTAAAATTAAATCGTCTTTAGACAGTGACAGAAATTTGTAACTTAATGGCGAAATAGGACAGCTATGTCATGAAAATAAGATTGTAGAATCCGCTTCCGGTAAACAAAGGTCTAAATCTCCATGTCACCTTCACAATCTTGGACAGACGAATGAAATCACAAAGAATAAGTCAACTTAAGCTAATCAGATACAATCTTGCTCGAGCAATAGGACACAAATTTCTAACTGTCGATTGGATTTTAATGAAAAAGCCAGATACGAACCTCGAACTTGTCATCCGAGACACTGGTCTGAAAGTCTGTGAATTCATAGATGTGGTGGAAGAGATAGCTGTGCGAGCCGGTCACCGTCTTCTTGCCCTGGATCTCACAGCGGACGGGTACCTGGTTCACGGCTATAGCCGTGTTCCACGAGTTCTTAGCTGCGACGTAAAGAGATATAAGAAACATATATGGTTCACACCGGTTGCCAGTACAGAGTAACGTGAGTGAGTTTGGTTTCACGTCGTTTCAGCAATATTCCGGAAATATCACGGCGGGGGACACCCGAAATGGGCTTCACACATTGTATCCATGTGGCGAATCATACCTCTGTCTTGGGCGTGACGAGCGAACGCTTTAACCATTAGGTTATGATACCGCCCTTCGGGGAAAGAGAAGCTTAAATGGCTCACACTGCTTGCGAGACTGAAGTCCTCCAATGACCACGTTGTTTGTCTGCTGAATTTGTTTATGGTATAGACCATGGACAGCCCCCCCCCCCACCCCCGTGGAAATGCCACAGTAAAACCTAAGGCACGCCTCAGCCAGGGCCAAACTCATCCACTCTCTAACTCTCCCAAGCGTTCATTGTCAAGCACTTTATCACTCAAACACTGCCTCAATGATCTTTTATGGTTGGAATGGCTTGGAATTAGTGTACTAAGCTGAAAATGGGTACCCATTGGTACTGCTGGGGGTGGGGTGGGGGTGGGGTGTATATCAGTTGGCTAACTTATGAATATATAAAAGCACTTTGTTAGTGCTATATAGTCCTATATAGTGCTAATAAACCTTGGTCTGTCAGCAAAAAGGACCCCGTCTCTCACTCATCGAGTCACTGTAAGAGTCAACCAATTCAACGACTCATGTAATCAGGCAACAAACCTCTCAGCCAGTCTGCACTGAGCAAAATTCTAAAGTATTCACACATTTTCACAGTCATATATATTATTTTCGCGACAGGCAGCTGACTCACTCACTCCAGCTCTGTTATCTCACCTGTAAAAGACCAGAGGATTTTGACGGAGGCTTTGAAGTCATCTAGATAAGCACAGGACTGAAACTGGTCCACCAGCATCCCCCTAACGCGCTTCACCCCAAATACGTTTCTTTCAGAGTCCTCCCGAACCTCATCGCCCCTCCAACCGAATAAATGCTCTCAGACCCATTCGGACTTTTCGTCACCCCGAACAGGTACTCGTTGCTGGTCTGTGAGAGAGGCTGGACAACACACCCTGCGATCGTGCCATCTGCGACAGGAAGACAAGTCATGTTGTTGTTGTTGCTGATGTTGTTTCTAGGTTCTTTGAAATATTCTTACAACAGGGCGATTGTCCCCCAATGGACCAGACAATCCAGTGACAGACATCATGAACATCGACCTACACAATTGTAATATGACGACCTGCATCATCTGACAAGCCATGTCAAGTCAATTGACTACCCGATCCCGTTAACTGTAGCACTCATAAAGCTGGTGACCCACAATGAAGAGGACACATGCAATGTACCGTGTACCTAATATCGGCACTGAATCAACGTTAAGCGCATCCTGGAACGAATAAGGGGCGAAACTGCCTGGCTATCATATCGTGTACCACCTATTAGAGCCTTGAGCATGCACTAGTTGCCTGGATATGTGCGCTATATATATATATCCTATAATAATTAATGTCCGCTAGCCATAATTAATGTCCGCTAGCTACGTCTTGTAGACCTGAGTCTATCGACTGCCTTTCATGTGCCCGTATTCGATGAGGTTTTCACCATCAAGCATATTCTGCTTGAATGCGTTGACTTATCGTCTGCAAGGGACTCACATTATGATGCAACAAACCTAAAAGATCTGTTCTCCCGCGTAAGCGCTCATCTGATAGTGAACTGCCTGAGGGAAGTTGATCTGTATCATAAATTGTAACTGTGAAATGTAACTATCATAAATTGTAACTATGAAATGTGACTAACAAATTGCCTGCCTTTAAATTTGGTGCTTTGACTTTTTCTGCTTTTAAATGACAATGTAACGAATATATGTTTTTGAAATAAAACTCATTCCAAGTATGTACTTACAATGTTTATTAATGCAAACTTGTTCTCGTCACTATATGGCTGGAATAATGCCGATGTGACGCAAAACCCAACTCAACTCCACAACAAGCCACGTCAGTGTAATTCGACAGAACAGAGCAGCGCATTACCTCCCTTAGACCGAGTACAGCATTGCAAACAATTTTATATACAGTCAGTTAACGACATTAGTTTCTAACAATGTCAGTTATGTCAAATAAATTACACACAGTTTATGAGTAAGTATGTTTTTACAGTTGATCAATGCTGAGACTTAACATATTCGCCTCCCTTGAATCATCCCCACTTTGAAACCATAGCAGCATTATGATGTCCCCCCCACGAAACTATACTCCCCATCAAAAGTTTAGACTCACTACACACTCCGGCACAGCGATGACGTAACATAACATTACTGCCACAGGCTAATTTGCATATCACGTGACCGGACTTTTCTCTTGTTTGTAATCAAACGCGCATATTCATAATAAGAAGAGACTGGACTCACGAACGCTTTTCGGCGCTCTCTTCATAATGTTTTACATTGTTACATATATATTCTTCCACAACTGCGACAGTTAGGTCTATGACAGTACATATTTAGCTATCAAACTGGCTGCATCGTTTGCTCTCCGTCGGCTTCGATGACAGCACGTGGAGCCGTACAACCTATGTAAACAAAGGATCGCTACGCAAATCGAAATAGTGTTACATGTTTTTGGATATTTTCTCAGTGAAACTAAACCATTCTATTAAAGATGTTTAGTTAGATGTGTAGACTCGTCAAAAATAAAAGAGTAAAAGAAATATGTACATTATATTGAATGGACGGTGCAAGATGTGACGAATCGTCACATTTTTCTGGCCTGTGGCAGAGGTACTATGCTGGAACTCTGGGTAGGAGAGTGGACTCACTAGTGTAAATGTAACCATTTACTTAAGTCAACTGTTCTAAAATAAATGTTGCATTTTTTTCCATACTGTTTAAAGGAACTGTTTACACATGAACTGATGTATTGTAAAACAAATTTGTAACTTGGAAAATGTTATTGTCATGAGTTCAATAAATGATGAAACTCGGTGAAAATTGACGAATTAGTAGCAAACCTCTACACCAAAACGCAGCTGCTCACAAGCATGATATTTGCACATGCTTTACAGCAATTTGATGCATGATCCTCGTGCAATTCATCTGCATAAGGTTTGCAGTTGGTTCCCCCCAAGTTAGTGGGGAAATTCATCTTCCATGTAACCATATATATATATATATATACACACACATAATAGTGAGTGCTTTAAGTGAGTCTAAACTTTTTGTGGGTACTATAACTAGTCACGTATGTCAGGGTTCAATGCCTGAACGTGAGTCTCCCTTGTCTCAAGTGCACCAATAGCAGCATGTACTTCAAGGCCCAAAACACTACTACTACACTATCCTACCGACATACTACTATGTTTCCCTCGATCAATGATCCTACCAGCTTACCGATGGCCTCCACCACCATGATGTATTCTTGAGTCGTGTAGTCGTAGATGACGTCGGCCTTGATGCCAAACTGATACTGCTGGGCGGCCCCCCTGTTGCCGACCTGGTCGTACCATTCCTCCACGTCCGTCGTGGAGTTTTTGTTGAGGATGTTGCACTCCACCCGGGCACTGAACTGGTCGGGCAACTTTGGCGTCGGCCCTTAACATAATACACGCATGTTGTAACCATATATACTGAGGGAAACAAATAAGGGAACGCCACTTCAGGGCAGTGTTCCTTTATGTCTTTCTCCGAATTCCTCCCACAGAGCTATTCAAAGCTGGTGATGAAACCTGGACAATATTAAAGGAACGATTGAATTTTCTGTGTTCCTTTTATAGTTACGTTCAGTATATAATCAGCTGTATGATACAAAGCTCGGAGATCTCTGTCAGTCGAGGGGCGGTAGGGTAGCCTAGTGGTTAAAGCGTTCGCTCGTCACGCCGAAGACCCGGGTTCGATTCCCCACATGGGTACATTGTGTGAAGCTCATTTCTGGTGTCCCCCGCCGTGATATTGCTGGAATATTGCTAAAAGCGGCGTAAATCCAAACTCACTCACTCACTCTGTCAGTCGATTACCGAGTCTTCATTTTCGTCATGTGTACAAGCCATCATGTTTGTCATGGGATATTACAAGAAGGTGAAGTAACTCATGAATGAACTGTCCTTGATGAAAAGTTTGTACAACGCACAATTAGCTGGAAATGTGATAACACAGAATCAGGTGCGTGTGTTGAACGTAGATACACTAGCTCTGCACCCGAATGGCGATCTATCGCAGTGACTGATGCAGGACACCCATCTTTATCACTGGTGAAAAGTCACAACGGGCGCTTCGACTACCATGTTCACAGAAACCTAGGATAAACATGATCTACTGCTTCTGTTACAACGTACATAGCATTTCATCTCTCCCTTAACCACTCAACTGTCTCTTCTACCACTCAACTCTCTCTTCTACCACTCAACTCTTCCTTCTACCACTCAACTCTCACATCTACCACTCAATTCTCCATTCTACCACTCAACCCTCACATCTACCACTCAACTCTCATTTCTACCACTCAACTCTCACTTCTACCACTCAATTATCATATCTACCACTCATCTCTCCCTTCTACCGCTCATCTCTTCCTTCTACCACTCAACTCTCTCTTCTATCACTGATCTCTCACATCTACCACTCAACTCTCACTTCTACCACTCATCTCTCCCTTCTACCACTGATCTCTCACATCTACCACTTAACTCACACTTCTACCACTCATTTCTCCCTTCTACCACTCAACTCTCACTTCTACCAATCATCTCTCCCTTCTAGCACTCAATTCTCACATCTACCACTCAACTCTCCCTTTTACCACTCAACTCTCACATCTACCACCCAATTCTCATTTCTACCACTCAACTCTCACTTCTACCACTCAACTCTCGCTACTACCACTCAACTCTCACTTCTACCACTCAACTCTCACACTCAACTCTCACATCAACCACTCAACTCTCACTTATGCCACTCAACTCTTTCTTCTACATGGACAGGCATCACTACTTTCATCACTTCTATCACCACGGCTACACTACATGGAGTCCTCCACACCCCACTCCCAACGCTATGCCCTGTGAAAGCACCCCTACGGCTTTCCCAACCTCAGTACCCACCCCAGCTAACACCACTACGGCTTTCCCAACCTGACTCCCACCATTGCCACTAGCCAGGCCTCTAGACCCACCCTAACCACGACCCCTATGGCCATCTACTTTTCACTGCCACCACTACCTGGGTTGCTGCCGTCAGACGGAGTGCACACGCTGGGGTCCGGGGTCAGGGACGACGTCAGCGTCAGAAACAACACCATCCACAGGGACAAGAAGACTCGCTCCATCCTGGAATGGAGAAAACATTGATCTTAGTTCTGATAGCAACAATGTGCCAAACACATTCTGGAAATAAGCAGGAAATAAACAACACACACTGATATTCCCTTTGGTTTTAAATATTTAAAAATACCCCAACTTTTTTATTAATCAACTGCCGTGAGACTAACCCACGCAGAACTCACAATAAGCCTGATCTTTTATGAGTGAATTAATTTTGTAAGATGCGTCCAACTGAAAACGACCCGAAATTCCACGTTGTGAAGCGGCTATTCCTTACAGTGAATTTATATTCCCCTTGGAAATAATATGTGATTCCTAATCTCCAATGGGGACATCAGCTGAGTTATTTGAACATAGATTTCTCTTGAGGTGGCACTATAGAAAGATAGAAAGGTTCTAAACGTAGTAAAATGCCTCAGTGGATTCCTTGCAACTTTGTGTGATGTGAGGTGTTTCGGTAAGGTATCCCGGAGTGGTGCACTCTCATGGTGAGAGAAAGGCAGCCGACGTAATTCCCCTTGGGAGAAGTGCAACATCATCTTTCGATTTCTCCCTTGGGGTCGCTCCACTGCACATTCAAGTACCTCCCTCCATTGTACACCCGCTCACGCTTCATCGATTTCCATTGAAATTGGCAGCCACAATTCCCCAAGGGAGAAATCGAAAGATGATGTTGCGCTTCTCCCAAGGGGAATTGCGTCGGCTGCCTTTCTCTCACCATGAGAGTGCCCCACTCCGGGATACCTTACCGAAACACCTCACATCACACAAAGTTGCAAGGAATCCACTGAGGCAACGGCGGGATACGAACCCACATGTATAGCTCGCGCAAACTATACATAATGGGCCGCACCACTCAACCGATTGAGCTACCGGGGACTTAGCTGAAGAATCTCGGTTTAACGGGTCTATCCTGGGATTGCATCATCCAAAGCTGGGCTCCGTCTATAATAGCGCAAACCAGTTTATGGCATTATTTTGAACTCGGCTCCATCTATACTTGCTACAGTAGGTTTTAAATCCGGTTACTGTTAACAGGATATATACAATGCCGACTTTTGAAATTATTATAGTGTGCAATCTCGCTATGTTTCGTGTGTATTGTGTATGATATTGTTAGAATAAAAAACCGATTTATTTGAATCCCAGTTAACTTCCTGGTCACTATGACCGTGAACCAGCACTTTCCTGATCATGTGACATGTCGTGTTGACAGGATACTATTGGGATTACTTGGTAAGTGTTAAATATTTTGCTTGGGGGGTAGCATAGTGTCGTACGGTATGATCAATAATTCTTCTCTAACGAACCCTCTACCTGGCCCATCTCTCAAGTAGTACAAGTTCGGCTCGTCTGCTTTGATGTCCACTTTATCTATGTTGTAAGTTTTGACTGACCATATTGGGTCAGTGGCTCGCTTACGGCTATCACCCTCGTGTTCCCCGGCTGGTATAGGTACCTCACTAGGGCCTTATCTGGTATCTGTTTCCCACGCAATGGAGCAGCCGACTCTGCCACTATTGATTTTAGTTTGATAGCGTCTGCCGGTTTCTTACCAGTGAGCCGAGTGGCTTCATGGTTGATGGCCGACACCACCTGAGGTAACCGCGCTACCCATTCAGTCGATCGTTTCCCCGGGTTGGCCATCTCTCTCACATACTGATGGCCGAATAAGCGCTCAACCAAAGTCCTATTGAATCTCTCAACTATGGCTTGGCTGCGATGGGCTCCGACCATGCCACGCCTGACCTTGGTGTCATGTTTATCCAGCAGGTGTGACACGACACCCATGAACTCCTGCCTGGGGTCAACTTGCAGCTCTGTTGGCCACGTCAGCGGACTGCCCTTGTATATTCGTTCGAATCCGCGGGCTACCTGGGCCGAGTCTTTCGCGGTTAAGGGTTCAGCTTCCTTGTAGCGACTGGCCACATCCACGACGGTTAAGGCATACTTGTACCTCTTATCGTGGGGTAGGAACAGGAGGTCGGCCTGGTGAACGCTATTGGGTATGTCCTTCTAGGTACGTAGCGTGGTGGTGGTAAATAGATATGCCACAGGGCTTGTTTTTCAAGCCACGCTTTGGCCTCCTCCGGGGGTACTCGCGCCATTTTAGCCAGCTTATGTACAGCGCTAGCTCCTTTCCAGTACCCACGCGGGCTGCAGTAAATAGCCTCAAACTTTCTTTGGTTCCGTGACATAGTCGTCGCCCCGACAGGGTAACGTGTTTATGTACACCTATGTTCTTGGTTCAATTTTCTCATGCCCATACGCGTACGTGTTGATCCCATCAATAGCTATCCAACGCTTAGTGTCCATCGGCGACAGGGACGTCTTGTTTATAGTCAGTCCGTATATCCTATGCCCATCACTTCTAAGCGTGTTCATTTTATGCCTGAAGGTGCGGGTCTTGAACAGGGCTTCCTTGAATCTGGCGTGTTTGATGTGTCGTTTCACCACATACTTCTTAACACCCTTCGCCTTCCGGATCTCACCATTGACGGCCTTCAGGATGGAGTACATCTTGGGTCTCAAACCTATGTACTCGGCTATGTGCGTGCCAGCACACTCGTCCTTCATCTTACCTAGGACCTTTTTATTTACCGTGCTGTGTATGGCATGGTCCTTGGGGTAGTCGCTGGTGTCGTACAAATCGAGGCGTTTTTTCATGTCCTCGTACACGTCCTCGGTTCGAATCTCCATCAGCAGGGAATCCGTGTCAGTGTACAGCACTTCACACCTGTCGTCGTACTATTTCTTCAGTTCGTTGTAGTAAAAGTCGTACATCGGGTGTTTGGATAAATCGAGGATGCTCATCCCCACGTAAACAGGCCGGTTGAATTTTATGTGGCTTTTCTTCATGTGTAGGGCAACCAGGTCGTCGGTGAATATTTTGCTACGGTTGAATGCCGGACTGGCTATCAGTCTCCTGAGCTTGTCTTCCTCATTCGGCCGAACCAGCTTCATGGTCACGCGTTTCCTCAGATTCTCCATAGTCTTACCAAACACCGAGTTGTTCATGAGCTTGTAGAGGTTTTTCTCAAAGTCATTGGTGGCAAGCTTTCGGAGGTCTGTGTTCATTCTGGTGTATGGCTCCATCCAGGGGCTCTGGTTGAACACGAGCACCCTGTCTATTTTGGTCAGCCTCATACCCATCGACAGGTACTGCTGTAGGTTGCGAAAGTGAACGATGTACTTGGTCTTATTCATTAAGTTGGGCACGAGTTTTTCAACGTCTGCCACCCTCCCGCCTAACAAGTTATGTTGGTACTCAGACATCCAGTCTGGGTTAACCTTCATACGTTCGGGGGGCCAGGGGGTAGCTGTTGTGTGATGTGTGTAATGCCTTGGGGTATTCCAAGTCCACCTCGAAGACATAACCTTTGTTCGAATCTGGTGCGATGCTCATAACATCGACCTCGTACGATGCCCGTTCAAATCCCCTTGTGGGTAGATATTGGCTCATGGCCCAGCCGTACAGGTTGTTGGCATCGAGGTAGAGAATATGATTGGTTGGCTTGCTCGGGTCGTAGCCCTTCACGTATTGATTATTTGCTTTCGCGTATCGTTTGGTTGCCATGGAAATCCTACCTCGCAAACCTTTTTCAATGAATAGGTGCATGTCGTAATCTGTGAGCAATTCCAACTAAACTCCGGTCATTTTCAGCAAGGCATCCCACGACAGACCTGGGCTTGTGTAATACCATGCAGGGTCGAATTTATACTGCTTGAAACATGTCCGCCTAAACGTCTCAAACACATCGGCTAGCAGCAGTACATCTGTCCTCAAGTACAGGTCGTGATAGTCACCCAGATTCTTACAGCTCAGTTTATTCCATACGTTAATCGCGTGCGAGTAATCATCTTGGGATATTGCCGAGTCGGTCAGATTGCTGTAAAATTCTCTGATCGGGGGTAGTCGGGTCTCGGCGAACTTGGCCCAGCCATCCATGTACTCGTAGGGGTACACACCCTTCCTCATCAGCAGGGGTCGAGTCTCGGCGTTGGTGTATCGATCAGTGATGGGGAAGGTATCGTTGGCCTTGACCAGACTGTCGAGTGACGACAGGAGGAACTGAATCGAGTCAATGAACCTCAGGCCATTCAAGCTGAAGGAGATTATCTCTCCATGTTGTTGGGGATGCACGTCAGGTTACCGCCGACTTTCGCGATGGCCTGCATGATCAAGTGAGAGTCGTACCCTCTCAAGTTGTGGGAGACCACGGGGATGTTTATTGTCTTGGGGGTGATTCTAAGCTTGAGGTTACACGTGCTGTGAGCGGCGCCTCTATACTTACCGGTGACGTGGCAGTGATCTCTCACCGAATCACCGTTCAGTGGTGAGTCACACACGTGGCAGTTAGTTCTACAGGCGTGAGATAGCCGGTCGGCTTGGGTCATACGCATGGGAGCGACTGTATACAGTGCATTCCTGATAGTTTTTTCTTCCTCCTTCAATCACTTTAGAAACTTTTCAGCCGCGTCGGGGCCCCTATACACTACGGGAGCTTTCGTTTCCCCATCACAACGGACGACCACGTATCCAAACCCACAGGCCTCATGCTCTTGTGTTTTGTGTGTGGCCCTGCCGATGTCAGCCTCAACAGGTTTGACCAAGGCTTCAAAGTCGGCGTAGATGACATAAGGCACAGACATTTGGTTCTTGTGGTTGTCGAATTTTAGGATATTGTCACCTTCCTTAGGCATGTCGACTCGTATGGCTGTCTGTCCCACACTTTGGCAATCCTCCCGGTGGGATTCTAATAAATCAGCTCGTGTGAAGCCATGTAGGCATCGTATGCAAAAGTGTTTTTTCCCGTCGTATTTCGATTGGTCATGCAATAGCCTGCTGAGATGTTTTCTCCACGTGTAGTGGTACTTTTTACCTCGCTTGGTCATGAATATATTGATCACGCGGCGACCCAATGGGCTGACCCTGTGTACTATTGTTGTGTTGCCTTCGTGCTCTAAGACGTTTATGGCTATATCGTTCTGTTTTTCTATTTTAG